AAAACCCTGACGCTTTCGGTGGTTCCCGCTGATGTAGGAAAGCCAACGGTGAGATTAGAGAAAGCTCCGATTATCGAAGGGAACTGCTACTGGGAACATCCTATTTATGAGACTGTAAAACTAGTCAGGGAGCCGAAAATGGAAAGATATAAAGAGAAAATCTTCCATTTCATTGTGTCAACTGTAAGTGATAAACCTTCTCGTATAGAATTCTTTAGACTTGTTAAATAATAACTGGAGAAAGACTCTGTTTTAGTTTTACTTGTAGCTAGCTCAAATTAAAGTTATTTACTTATTTTAATTTTCACAGAGATCATCAAAATCAGGTGTTCTGGGAGAAAACTCGATTGACCTTGCAGATCTAGTTGAGGCTACTAAACCATTGACATTATCTCTGCCTCTACAGACTTCAAACACTGGTGCAATTTTGCATGTTAGTACTTCTCTCTTTTTCTCTCTTGCACGCAAGCGCACAAAGAACAAAGCTGGCATATACCTGAATGAATTTTGCTAGTTGTACAACCAAGGGTTAACAACCCTGGTTGACAACCTCCTCGCAGGATGGGGCCCATGATTTTTTTCATAGACACCCTCCCACGTATGTGGGTCTCAACTCCGATTGTACATGTAGCATGACCATGACCATAACTAGCAACTTCTTGTTTTTTTTTTAGCAATTATAAGGTTTCGGCATATAGAGTTTGCACATAAATTGCAGTGCATCCTAAAACTTCTATAAAAATAACAGGTCACAATTCAGAAGATGCAAGGAGATCTTGATTCAAGGTGATGACGAAGATTTTCAGCAACGATCATGTTCTTTTGTCCATTATAATGATTCACCTTTACAAGCTGAGTTAATTCTTCTTGGAAAATTTCAGATGTACTGACGAAAGTGAAGCACTGGTGGAAGATTTTGACAGCTATGGGAAAAGAAATCTACGATCTCCTGAAGTAAGGTCTCAAATACCTCCCCTTTTATAATTGATGAAATAACAGAGTAAAAAATGGGAGCATTAGAGATCCTAGAGTTGTTAGAAACCTCAAGAAAGGCATTAAGATATTTATATTGACTTCATTAATCAAAACTAATGCTTATTATTTTCCAAAGTGAGCACTTCAGAAACTAACACCTCGTAACAATGAACAGAATGGAAGCTTTGGAGATACTGGATCAGATAATAATGGTGTATATCAAAGATCCCACACAGATATGTCATTAGATTGTGCTTCAGATCGTAGTATAATTGATAAAACAAACAGCTTTGACGAAACCAGTTCAAGAGATGGGGTAGACGAAAATTCCATTGATATTATTAGGAAGTTGAAAAATCAAGTAACAATGTTAGAAAGGAGGGCAGAAGTTTCAGAATTGGAAGTACAATCCCTTAAGAAGCAGGCTATAAAGGAAAGCAAGAAGGGACAAGAACTAGTAAAGCAGATTGATTGCCTTAAGGAGGAGAGGGATGCAATTATAACCCAATGTGAACAACTCAAGTCCTTACAAAAAGGTAATAATGATGATGTAGTTTCAAGTGTTACAAAGAAAGAGACTGAAAATTTGAGGACTTCACTTGAAGATATCAAGCAAGAACTTAGAAGTGAGAAGCAATCTAATAAAAAGTTGAAGCAGCAGCTGCAGAAGACAGAAGACTCGAACTCTGAACTTGTTCTAGCATTAAGAGACCTTGAAAGAATGTTGGATAAAAAAAACACGGAAATATCTCAACTTTCTAGCAAAATAAAGGCAAATCACAATGGCGATGAGGCTCTTGCAATATCATCCAAGATAAAGAAAGATTGGGATCAAGAGAAGAAAGCAAAGGATGACCAAATAAACAAGCAAAGAAATGCTGATGAAGCAGAAATGTTGAAACAAGAAATTAAAAACCTCTATTGCGAAATAGAAGCCTGCAGGGAAGAAAAAGAAGAAGTTCAGATGCAAATGGAAAAGCTTACTCAGGATTATAAGAGTTTAGAAAAGGAAAACGAGGATGTCTACTACAATTTAGAGCAATCCCAGAAAGGAAAAATGGAAATACAACAAAATTATTCAGAGTCCTTGGTCAATGTAAAGCAGCTAAAACTCCAGGTAGAAAACTTGAAGGAAGAAGTCAAAAGGAAGGGACTACGACATTCAGAAGCTTTGAATAAAATCAATGAGCTTGAAACCCAGGTTATGACCTTGCAGAAAGAACTGGAAAAGCAGGCACATGGTTTTGAAGATGAACTAGTAGTAGTAACTCAAGCCAAAGTTGAGCAGGAGCAAAGAGCCATACAAGCTGAGGAGGAATTAAGGAAGACAAGGTGGAAGAATGCTGCATCCACAGAGCACCTTCAGGAGGAATTCAAACAGCTTTCCGTTGAAATGGCATTTAGGATTGATGAGAATGAGCAACTTGCTAATAATGCAGTAGCAGAAGCTAATGATTTGCGGCAGCAAAATAAAGTTTTAGAAGAATTGCTCCAGAAAGCTGAGGAAGAACTTGTAATGTCAAAAGATCAATATGAAAGAAAATTTCACGAGCTTCTGAACGAAAATTCTGTAGGAGCAAAAGAAGCATGTACTAGTGAATCGGAGATGCTACAGAAATTGGTAGAAGAAAAGGAAGATCTAGAGAGGGAACTCGCTTCAGTGAGAAAGGAAGCAGAAAAGCTGTCGAAGGAATCAATTTCCATGCGGTCTCAAATAGTTCAAAAGAAGAAAATAGATGAGAACTTGCATTTAGAATTGGAAAAGCTAAAACTTCAATACAATGAAATGGAACATCGTTCGATTCAATTAGAACTGGAGAATGAAAGCATGAAGAAAGAGATGTCCAAATTACAGGGCACCTTACATAAGAAGGAACAGGTAATTCCTAGCACAAATAAAGATGTTTCTCATTATATAGGTGGATTACAGAAGGTGCACAGAATTTGCAGCTAAAATAATTGGTAGAAAGATAAAAATATCTTAAAACCTGAGGGCTGACTCCAAAACACTGCCAATTGCATTTGTTACTCTGTTACTAACATCAAGTGTTGACAAACTAAATCAAACTGTTTAAAGCAGACTTAATTCTTGAAATTAGAATTGTCTGAAAATAAGAAAGAGACACCTTTTTTCACAAATGGAATTGAAAGTGTATTTAATTCTTGAAATTAGAATTGTCTGAAAATAATAAAGAGACAACTTTTTTTCACAAATGGAATTGAAAGTGTGTCTCCTTAGATTGACCATAAAATGAACAATATCTCTTTGCAATTCAACAAGATTCAGCCTCACCAAAAACTAATGCACACTGCTTTGTTTAAGCTTCCCAAAACTATTTCAGCTACATTATGCAAACAATCTTATTCAAATAAATATTTGATGACAGGAGTCTACACCAACTAAGCATATGAATCACAGTGCTCTTGAAGGAAGAAAAAACATGGGAGGAAATTTAGGTTCTGCAGCAATGAGAACAGTGGAGGGCCTTCCTACATTGAATGGATTTGACACAGCTCAAATTATAAGGTACAAAAACAGTTAACTATTATGTTTTCACTTCTTCTTTGAAAAAAAATTCTTCCACATGCATTTATGCACGCTGCGTTACTTGTTCAGTGGAGAAATGAACCAAAGAACAATGCTGAAAGTGAATGGTGACCATGCCGGTGATAGTTGTGATGTTTCCAGCTTATTAAATGTAGTAGAGTCACTGAAGGAAAGAAACAAAAACATGGAAGACGAACTGAAAGAACTGCAAGAGAGATATTCAGAAATAAGCCTCCGATTTGCAGAGGTAGAAGGTGAAAGGCAGCAACTTGTCATGACCGTACGGTGTCTGAAGAATGGAAAGAAAAACTAGCCACTCTGGACAATGCTAAAGGCCTGGAAAACTTTAGAGGTTCAATAAATGAAACAGCTAAGAATATTGCGAAGAAACTGGAGATTTGCCCTGGCAAACATCAAACATACATCTACAGTTCATTTTTTACGAAGCCCTATAACATTTATATAATTCATTTTCCTCTAATTCAATGTCTTAAAGCAGTAAAGTTCAGTTATTTGCATCAAATGGATAACAGCATTCCTATGTTATGTTTGGCATCACGATTGACTCCAGGAAACATAGTAAATAAACCCCAGCAAACTTCTTAACTTCAATTTTGTAGCTGGAGAGCTAAATAGTTGTTTGGGCTATTATAGGGAAAGAAGCTGAAGAGAGAGAAAGGAAGGAAGGCTATTCGAGTTTTGNAAAAGATAAATTACTGTCTTCGGAGAATATGAAAGTAATATCTGAAAGTTTGCAATCAAAATAATATAACATTTCCATAGGCTTGACCTAATATTTCATTAGAACAATACAGCATTCTGTTCCTAGAATTGATATCACAGATAACGTGAGAGAGTGCATTGGACAATATCTTGGAGTGATCGTCATGGATCGGAGTGAAAAAGTTATCGGAGAATGAGGGATTATTTGATGGATGACGGTAAACAATTCTAGGGTTTGGTTGCTGATCCGGCGGTAGGGAGGATGCCAGTGTACATTGCAATTTGCAGTAAACGATATGCTGTGAGAATGAAAAAATGTTGAATTTTGAAAGTTTGTAACGAGTTCGTTTGCATTTATGATTTGTTGATTTGGCGCTATTGGGGAATGGTTTTCCAGTTTCTATACAGTTGTCGTTCCACAATTCTGTACATTGTGTGAATTATTGAACAAAAAGGAACTCCATTTTCTTTCTTTCTTGTTACGCAACTGTGCATTCTATCTAATCGCTAAGCTCCCCGTTTGGCCCCCATTTTTTTGAAATGAAAATGAGTGCAATAATATTTTTTTAAAAAATAAATAGTTGAAAATGAAGGAAATATTTTTAATTTACGTGTAATATTATTTTTTGAAAAATTGTATGATTAGAAAGAGGAGAAAGAAAAATGGAATGTAATGAAATGAAATTTAATGATGATTAGATGAGAGCTTATTGTAATCAATACTCTCTCCATCCCATAGAGTATATTTGTTTGAACAATACTATATGTATAGAATCTTTTACCTACTACTCACAATAGGGATGGGGACCACATGTGGCAATTTTAAATTCACGTGGAGCCGCCATACATTGTGAGAGGATATAAAACATTCGATAAGGGATTGAGTGTACAAATATCTTTTTCCTTTTTGTTTTCATTTTTTTTTTTTTGCCTATTTCAAATTATAGGTCACTTTTAATGTTGATAATATAGCTGATTTCTTAGTTTTTAAACATACTCTTATTTAATGTGCCTTGTCACCAACAAATATGAATTACTCATATTTAAATTATTATTTAATGTAGAGATTTATTAGGAAAAATATAACAAAATTATATTTTCAACCATATTAATTATATTTTCTTAATCTGCGTAAAAATAGAAACAAGTTTATCTTCATGAGGTCGGGAGGAAATATTATTCTCACAAGTAAAGCCATTCGAACTAGATAGGCGGGTGCCACACCAGCCTTTGGACGAACCTTCTAGCACGGTTCTATTCTCACTAATTAATGCATATTTTCATTTTTAGAGAGTGTTTGGTGGGGATTATAATTAGATTTTCTAGTAAATTGTGAAAAGAGTCTTTTTTAATATACGATTGAAAAGTTGTGAAATCATGAAAGATGTAGTTAATATTGATTGTTTGATTTTAACTTAAATTAAAATCAAATTTTAATCCAAACCAAATAAGCTCCTATTATGATTAGACATTTATCTTGATGTTTACATTTTGGTACATTCATCTAAGAATTTTTTTTACCACTAATGGGATTTTAAGGACTAAAAGATTAAAAATGAGACAAATTTTAATGGATGAGATGAGATAAGATCGTATTTGTATGAATATATTGTTTGGAAAATATTCGGAAGAATTTTAGGATGTGTTTGAGTCCCATTATTTGGCATTATAATGAGATAAATAGTGTTTGTTTTGAAAAATGAGTGGTTGAAAATTTTTTGATTTACGTGTAATATTATTTTATTGAAGATTGTGTGGTTAAAAGTATGAGAGAGAAAAATTTAATTTAATGTAATGAGAAATAATGGAACTTAAACGGTGCTTAATTTAAGAAGATTTTTTTTTTTTTATTTCTTTTCTTCCCTTTTCCCATCATTTTCTGGCCCAACTGACAAAATCTCAACCCTGCCCAGTCTTCAACTACTTCACCAAGGCAACCATACCCATTTCTCCAATTACTGTCAGCTTGTACTCCCTCATATTAGCAACAATGAAATCCACTCTTGTTTATCTGTAATATATTAAATATCACATCAATTGAGAATAATTTTTTGAACGATTTTCATCATACTACAATCCATTTATTTCAATTTTTATTCTAAATTTTATTTTCTTTAATTCGTTTGAAACTCACCAAATCCTCCTAACAAGTTGGTATAAAATATTACTTTTACAGTATTTATAAAGTATTACTAAATAACATGCAATGCACGTTCAATTTGACTAGAACATCAAAATACCAAATACTTAAAAAATGAAAAACAAAATATAAGTATGGGCACTACTGAACAATACGATAAACAAATTTTAACTTTATTTTCTTTTCTGATAATATTGAGAATTGCCTAATTTATCATATTGGGGAAAATGTGTTATGAAAAAAGTGATTTTTTGGATAATATGTTGTTAAAAAGTAGAAAAATATTTTCGATTTACGTGAATAATATTTTATTTTGAGAATATGAGATTAAAAATGAGTTTGAGGGAAAAAAATTTCTTTTAATGATTGTCAAACAGGGGCTTAGCCATAAATCGTGCTTTTAATATTTCATAAATTATTTATTAATTGTAAATTATTCATGGTCATAGGCACTATTCACTCCACACAAGTCACCCTTTTGAAAAAACAATATTATTTAGAGAGTAACTTCCAGGTTAAAAATGCTCACAAGCTTCGATGAGAGATGAGAATAATTCAGTGGAATGGAGACAATACCTAAGCCTTGACAACTATGTAGGAAATTTGTGGATAAAATCGGAAAATGTTGTCTTTCGTCTCGTCAATTTGAATAATACGCAATTAAAAGACTCTCAGATGAGGAGAGTGGTCACAACTGGACCGCTTAAATCCCAAACTCTTCTTAGACAGTTTAGGTCTTTTTGACAAAGTCTTTCAATTTTGCAACTATGCAAATTAACAAAATTCAAACAACAGTATATCGAATTTTCACTAGATCATTGAAAGTTTTATTTCCAACAAATAACTTGTGTTCCAATATAATTTAAAATTCATGAAGCATACGAACAATATATCATAAATTCATGAAGCATGGACTGTAAATTTAATACGAAAAATTGCATGAATTAAACAATTGAAACATAGAATTTTAACCCGAGACTTGTGTTACACACAGTTTTCTTAAAACAGATTCGCCCCCTCACCGTCCATGCTTGAGGTTTAAAACGAGCGTCCGTTTTCCAGGATACAACGGTAAAATCAGTAGTTTCCGAGCACCGCAGGAGCCACTTCGGCGAACTGAACTAGTGCCTGAACTACACCACCACCAAAAGAGAACTCTATGCAAATGAATTTCTAGTCTATTCTAAACTTGAATACTTTTGCTTTTTTTTTTCTTTTTTTTTTTTTGTGTGTGTTGAAATGAGGAAAATGAGCCATTATTTATAAGCTAGGCTACCATTAATGGCAATGACCTTTGGAGTTCCTCATCTTTTTCCTATGTGGGACAAATTCATTTTTCTCACATAAACTCTCTTTTGAATGGCACACTTTGAGTCTCAATTTCTCATTCACCCGAGCATCAACTTTGACAAATAAGAATATGATTTCGATGTACTCACGGAGGAGAACACAAATCAACTTTCATCTTCCAAATTGAACAACCGGGTCCCACTCAAAACTCATGCCAAAGTCGGCCAATTTTTTCAACAATCCTCCATATGAATGAAAATTGAGAGCGACTCATGCATGTGACACATGACGACTTGTGAATGTGACACATGACGACTTGGTAATATAGTTCAACAGTTGAAACCTGCATACGATAGGTAGGTGTTACCCTTTGAACCTTTGCTTGTGAAAGCATATTTACTTTACTGGCTGACCAGTAGACGCGATGTCCTTGAACTGTTCTACCGTTTATGTAAACGATGATACACTTCACACATGATTCTTCCTAACACATTTAAGTTCTCATTATTATATTTATTTTGGCCATGAACATACGCCTGGTTCTGTGAGAGTTCACAAGAATTGCGCACCACACAATTCCCTTAGAAGCGGCCCCACTTCTCTCTCACATAGGTGATTTCTTATTACAAGTAACCCGCATAACTTGGCTCGATTTTCGACGGATAAGAATCATTAAAAGTCTATTGCTTATCCTCCATCTTTACGGGCATCACTGTCGCATCACAGGAATGGACAGGAGGTAATATCCCCCACAGTGATTCTATCAAGTCTTTACAATTAGGTTATCCCTTTGAACCTAGATCTTGGAATCTCTAGTCAACTAGGTTGGGTTTTCCTTTGTATTAACTTATCCATTCAAGGGCTTAAATCTCATTCCTCTCAATGATTTCTCAACTAACTCTCTATTTAAGCCTTTGGTTAGAGGATCCGCAATGTTATCCTTTGACTTTACATAATCAATAGTGATAACTCCAGTTGAGAGTAATTGCCTAATGGTATTATGTCTACGACGTATATGTCTAGACTTACCATTATACATGTTGTTCTGTGCCATTCCAATTGTTGATTGACTATCACAATATATGCAAATTGTTGGCACGGGCTTTGACCATCTTGGAATATCCTCTAAGAAGTTGCGTAGCCACTCAGCCTCTTCACCACTTTTATCTAGAGTTATAACCTTAGATTCCATAGTGGATCTGGCTATCACTGTTTGTTTAGAATATTTCCATGATATAGCCGCACCTGCCAAAGTGAACACAAATCCACTCGTGGACTTTGAGTCTTTTATGTCGGATATCCAATTAGCATCACTATATCCTTCAATGACCGCTGGACATCTGCTATAGTGCAATCCAAAATTACGAGTATATCTTAAGTAA